ATATTACCTTTGCTTGGATTATACGTTTTCCCAATACTATAACTCAAAATCTTGTACCATTACATAGTCTAACTGGCTGGTCTCTATTATTAAGCAACATGATCGGAGCACCCACTATGAGTTTTAAATTATACAGAGATAGACAAGAGTATTTAATATAGTTGAGAAAATAGGGTATGAGCATGCCTTCTCTTTAGTGTTTATATTGTCTTCCAAATTGCTTATGCTATCAGAACTTAAGTATTGAACTTCGTCCTTCTCTATAGATGCCAACATGTGATCATTTATAATTTCCATGTTATCATGCCTTGGTGGTGCCAGAATTGACCTCTGTCGGAGGTAATCAACATTCTCAAGATTATTCAAAACATTGGGGTATGTACTATTGACGATACTGGCAATGGGGTTTCCCTCCGGCTGGATTAACATATCTGCTGGAATATCAATCTCAGCTTCACCATCATTCAGTTATGCGATTTTACCTTCACCAACATTCAGAAGCTACTTGAAGAATTCTCTAACATCTTCAATGTTTCCATTCGAAGACCTTTCTCCAAGGCGCATGTTAACAGTCAACTTGAGTATCTCACAATGTTGTCACAAGTAGGAATTTTTTATTGATACATCAATAATATCTTGTCGTCTGCCCTTTGGTACCACTGGAAGAATCTATCTAAAATCATCTCTTAGCACAACAAATTTACCTGCAAATGGTCTCTCAAAATTCACTGGATTAATTGATCGAAGAATATATTTTAAAGATTTATTGAGAGCTTAGAAACAGTGTTTTTGAACCATAGGTGCTTCATCTCATATTATGAGTTTTGAACACTTTAAAAGAGAGCAGCCAAATCACTATTAGGCTTGAACAAATGGAGTTTACAGTGATATTTATGGGGATTAGGAAACGTGAATGTGTAGTTCTGCGTCCAGTGATAAGCAGTGATGCAATACCGCTGGATGCTACAGTAAGCACAATCTCACCCTTAGAATGAATTGCAGCCGATAATGTCTGCCAAATAAACGTCTTGCCACTGCCTCTGTATCCATAAAGAAAGAAAAATCCACCAACTCAATGATAAATTGCATAGACATAATACGTTCATAAACACCTTTTTGTTTCCCAGAAAACTTCTCAAACAACGAATCAAGTTATACCTTCAATTTTTCTCTATCATAATCAAGCTCATCCCATATTAATTTATTATAGTTACCCCACAATAGATGCTTGTTTGGATATGGAAATGTACCAAATTTCTTCAGTGTGCTTCCATTTCTGTGCAGAATAATGTTAATCTCAACCAATGCCAACTTTTTCAACTCCTCATCACTGATTATCAAATCTGCTAATTTTACGTAAAATAAAAATTATACATTAGCAAACTAAACACGGGAATAAAAATTATTTAAAATTTTCAAAACTTAATATTCACACCTTTAACGTCGTTAGTTCGCCTCTGCCTTTCTTGAATGTCTATAATCACATAATTCGAAGTTGACTTCCATACAAACTGAACTCTAGTCAAGCTGTATGCAAGCAATAACATTGAAAACAAAGATCTTAGATAATATCTTGATCCCATTAACTTGCCTCAGTTATACCATCACTATATTCTTTGTCATCGTCCAATAGACCCATCACTTAGCCAGTTCCTTGAAATTCTGTAAATTGTCCTCTCACATGTACACATGTCTCATAACAGATTCGCCCTTTTAACTTTATTCAACAATATCCTTAAGTAGTATGCCTCTCCTACAGATGAACATGTTGTATTCTTCCCACCGATTGACCCGTTTTCCTCAGTTTCCGTTCCCGTATATCTTGATGCCAAAAAAACTTTTATGGGAATTAAATATCACTAAGGCTATATTTGGATAGTTTTTTGAGTGTGTTTTTTTGTATTGGGAATATAAAAAGATATATTAGAAATATAAAAAAGTGCATTGGGAATGTAAAAAGATATGCTCGGATGTGATAGATATTAATTAAAAATTCTGAAAAAATAAATCAAAGAACGAACCAAACAGAGTGTAAGATTCTTGCATTTTCATAAAGGTGGTTATATCCATGATAATTAATATCTAGTTGGCTTTAAGATGACAAATTCAAATGAGTTATCTTCGTTAAATGTGATCGGCTAGTCACCGGGAAGATGGAAGGGCAATCTTTCAACCGGAGGATTTCTATAGTGAATATCAAATTTGAAGATTCTCCAAAGTCCAAATTGCCTCGTACGTAGATAGATATCTGAAATCAACCATGTTATGTTAGACATAAAATCTCATTAATATCTAAAATGATTAAATGCACATATTCAACTTTTTTTCCTTTTTCCATTTAATACATGTCAAGTCATTCTCAGTGAATGTCTTAATATATATATATTAAAATTTTTATCCTTAATATAATACTCCGTTTCGTCTCAAAATATAGTCCAGGTTAAAATACTAAAATATATAATCATGATGGGTTAATTTTTCAAATTATTATGTCCTCTAATCAAATTTACAAATAAGCGTTAGATGATATTAATATCATATGTCCAATTTTGATATTTTAATTTCTGAAATTGAATTAATGTTTTGTAAAGGGGTAGCATCTAATTGTGTTACTTGTCTATTAATCTTATTTTATTATATTTTATTTATTTATTTATTTTGCATTCTCCGTATAACAAACTCAACTCTATCCCTATTTCAAATTGCTGACTGATTTTAGACATTTTTTTTAAAGTTAAGCTGATGGAAAAGTATTTTTGTTTAACGTTAATAATATCATACAATTTTTTTATTATATACATTTATTTACTTTTAAGTTATTTATTTTGCATCTTCTTCTTGTTTCACCTGTTTATTACCTTGTTTTTTGTTTTCCTTCTCTTGCATTTTCCATTACATGATCCGTTTAATCCAAAATCACAATGTTAATCACTCATTTTGAATTGGGTTTGTCTCATACTTTTGTACGGATCATAAATTAATAATCTACTATTAACAAAAACCTTTGTAAATAATTTGTACATTTAAGACATGCATTCAAAAAGCAATAAGGGTATTTATCCCCAAGGGTATGCATACCCATGCACTGATTATAAAGTTTACTAATTACTTTCTCGGTCTCAAAATTATTGTCCAGTTTGATATTTCACTTTTAATACAATTTGAACTAAAAATGAAAATCTAAACTGGACAAAAATTATGGGATGGAGGGAGTAGTTTTTTTTTTTCCAAACATTACTATTTTAGATTAGAAATGAAATGAGTACTCTCATAGGACATAATTAACTACTACTTCCGTATCAAAAAAATAGTCCACATTGAGTTTTTAAATTTATACTAAAAATAGTATAAAACTCAAAACCTAATGTGAACTATTTTTTTGGGACGGAGGTAGTAAACTTTTTTACTTTGCCTAAACTTTACACATTTTTAGAGAATTCAAAATAAGAGTGACATGAGTATTTTAACGATTTTGGGTTACAAAATGAACTAACGCCATGATTGTATTTGGGCCTGAAAATTCGTTCCAAAGAAAAAAAAAACTATTGTTGTGTCACTATGAAATCATTTTGGAACTGGGACATTTGTAATAGAATTAAGTTTGAAATTGGACAAACATTTAAAGAAGAAAACTACAGGCCCGGTTGATACTTGTTGATTCAACTTATCTTTCCGGATCTCATTGTTGCCTTGATTTGTTTCTAACACCTTAGTTAGTGGATGCAATTTGCCAATAGTTAAATAATAAACGTCAACGGTAAAATTTATTTTATACTTTCAAAAACTAAACTTATACTACTTCTGTCCCAAAATTGTTAGATAGTGATTTTGGGACAATGGGAATATAAAATTGTTACATAAGTTTTATGTGGCATGTGTATATACATTTAGTTTTCTTTCTCTGATTTTTGCATTATATATATATATATATATAAATATATAAACATTTATTTCCTTCGGTGTCACATGATAAAATCATCTTTTCCATTGGAAAATAATTAAAAATCAATAGCTTAATGACACACACACACACACACATATATATATGTATATTTGTGTGTTATATATATATATATATATGTATATGTGTGTGTGTGTGTTTTGGGAGAGAGAGGGAGTAGAGAAGAGATGCATATGCATTCGTCACATTTTTTTAGAAAAAAAAAATCTAATGTGGTTACTTCTAGAATCACGGAGTAGTTTAGAAATATAAGTAAAATTCCTTGCAGTCATTTTAACAATTGAGGAAAAATCAAGTTACTTTTACAATACTCAAATGAATATCGTAGATGTGGTACTTGAGCTTTTATTAAAAAAAAAAAGAATGAAAAAAAATCCTATTTCACTCAACACTACACTTAATTTAAAAAAAAAAAAAGAAAAAAGAAAAAAAAAAGGGACTAAACTGATGATCAAAAGAAGGAACTTGAAAACCTTTTGTTCCGAGTAAATATGTACCTTTATATCATAAAATTGGTTCTAAATTGAATGTGGAGTAATTTTTTTTATGATCGGAAGAATATACTTTTGGCAATAGCTAAAAGAAATATTTTAAAAGAGACTATTCCATATCAACATTGTGATTTATCCTACCATATAGAGAATATGACACTTCTCTTTTTTAATTTTCTTGACATAGCAACTTCATACAACTCTCTTTTTAGACAAACGTATTGATTTCCCAACTCCAATTGATAATGATATATAGACTTCGCGTCCCTTGCATCTCCCAACTGCACTATTTGTGTTAGTGCTCTAGCTGGTGCATGCGGGATAGTAGTACAAAGTTTCACCGTGGGTGGATTATTGAGCCTTTATATAGAAATATAAACTAATCAAGATGTAAAATGGAAAAAAAAAATTATTAACCAAAAGAAATAAAAGAAAGGGCAACAAATTACAAAATATTTCAACCTTCCTCCTCACTCTGGCCACCAGACAAGAACACTATAGCAGGGACAGCAGGAATCATGGTGGGTTGAATGCCCCGGACAGTTTACTCAGCAATCTTTTCTGGAGTAGCCTTCTCCAACAGCATCGGAGCCAGGAGTCACAATTTTAGGCGTCAAGAGAGTACCTTCCAAAAGGACATGGTGATCATTCAATGCCTTGTAACATGAAGCAAGCGTATCAGTGAGCTTAGCGCACTTGTAGATGTCAAGAGGTTCATCCACAAGGATCTCAGGCTCAACAATTTGTACCAAACCATTCTGCTGGTAGATGATAGCATATCGGGCTTTTGGAGAACAACTGAAAAATCATTGGAAGTCTTTCATAACATTAGCACCTCCAAATACTTCTAAACATTGTCTCTAACTCCTCAGATTAACTTTGTAAGAACAACTGAAAAATCATTGGAACTACTCGGGTTAAATTCGATCTTTTACTAAAAGGAGTACAGATTTCATTGCAAGAACACAATCCATCACCATTTGAGTCTTGAGAGATAATGTATAAAGAATTAATCATCCATGGGATTTATTATACATGATACGTCTGGAAGAACCCACCAAATACATGAATTATGGGGAAAAAGAAAGACGACGAAGAAGAAAGGGAAAAAAAAAACCTTCAAGTACATCAAAGGAAAAAAATAAAATAGCCCAAAATTTAGGTAACTTGTGAATTGAATAGTATAAGTTTGATGATGAAATAGAAGAAAGCTAACGTAAATTAGATTCAAATGAAATAATCTCTTAATCGAAGATTCTCTCTTTATTCCTTTCGAGCATAGACATAAAAGAAGGAAAAGAAACAGAGAAAAAGGAACCAACAATTCATAAAGTTTGATTAATCATTTCATCCAACAATCTCATACACATAAGCAATAATCCATATGGAATTCTTTACTTATAAGTCCAAGAGAGTAAACGGACCTAGTGGATTCTTTAGATTCTTCATTCTTGGTGGAACAACACTTGAAAATCAAAGGTTTAATTTTAGTGCTAAAGAACAACCCGGATGGATATATGTTGGGAAAGCATCAAAGAGGCAATTGCTCCATTTCTTACTAATTTACTCATTTTTAATGCTTGGAAGTTTCACCCAAAATCAAGATCACTTATATATACCGTTTGCATCGATCTGTTTCCGGACAGTAAGTATGCGCACATGTGAGAGAGATTCCTGATAAAATCAAATTACTGACGGCCGGCCTTTTGGAGAATAGTTTTGGTTCCTCAGCACAATCTATCATTATCTTCTCCCTCAGATAAGTGATCTGGAATCATGTATGGTTCTTGTGTGTTTCTTCCAGCGCTGAGTACTCGCATAATCATCTAATCAGACTTGATCCTCATAGGTTGACATCTTGAACATAATCGAATTGATGTCTTCTCTTTCACTTTCCAAACGACACTTCATGGAGGTGAGATTTTCTACCGAATCAAATTGATTGCCGCCGGCGAAATGATTTCGTTGGACTGGGTAAAGAAAACAATAGGTTGGTAGGGTGGTACAAATCAAGTTTCACCGTGGACATCTGTTTATAAAGTCAAAAATTAAGGTTTGATTAATTACTGGAATGATTTTACAGTTGGTATGGAATATGATATTTTCTGATAAGATATTAGATTGCATCAATCACAAGCAAGCAAATATAATTTGTTCACATCCCAAAATAAATTTTGTTGGGATTCGATATCTTTTGGCCGAGATTTCATAGTTGTATCTCCGTGATAGAAGCCTGCAAGAATTCTGATAGAGTTGAAATTCGGTAAAAGGATTGTGACGTAACAAAATAACATTTGATCTTTTTTATTTTTATTTTTATTTTTTGATTTTTATTGTTTTATTTTGTGAATTTTTAAATCTACAAAATTAAGAAAATGCCACCTAGGATTAAATCCTATGTGGCATGTGCTCCATGCTTTTAGATTTCTCTCTCTGGTTTTTGCCTTAGTATAGTATATATATATATATATTTTATTTTCTATAATTTTAAAGGAAAACCTCTAGCAAGTTGTTCATTAAATCATTTTAGGTCGGTGTAGTGAGTATTGTTTACCAGTTCAATTTATCCGACGTATTCCCTAAACTTGTTTATCATTAATAAAATTATTTGTGAAATTATTAAATTTTCAAACAGATAATAATAGCTCCTTAGTATTTGAAAGCTTCTTTTATTCATTGTAGCTAAAGCTTCCTATTATTTATTCTAATTATTATTAATCTACTAATCTCCACATTTCTAATAAGACTCTAGTAATACCGGAAAATTTGTTACCCACTTTAATAAGCTAGTGAGTCTTGCTTGAGAGAAGGGCGCTAGATTTGGGGTCCTCACATTCTCACCCCCTTAAAGCGAATTGCGTCCTCGCAATTCATTATAGTTTTGCTGACGCTTAATCTCTCACCCCCTTAAAAGAAAATGCATCTTGAAATTCTTGTTATAAAAGTTTATTGGTACCATCTGTGTCAAGATTAGTGGGCTAGGTCCTATGTAGCATAACCCGACACCATTGTTATTTTCTAAGATCCAGTTAGGTTCACAAAAGGAGTACTGAGTACCTGAAAAAAATTCAATTATTTACTTTATCTAATTTAAAGTATTACTAGACAGAGTTATTATTATTTGTAATTTAGAAACAAACTTTAACATGTGGATGACCCATGCACATGTGCTCTACTCATAATCTCAATTAGTGATATTGTAATATATGTATTTACTATAATAGCTTTGTGTATAGGGTTTTGTTATTCTATATATAGCGTGTATATCGTATAACATAACATTATGAAATACAATCCTTATTATTCTAAATTGGTACAGAGTTAGGATTTTTTTATTTTTTTTCGGTCACCCATTTTCTTCTTTCTCTCGGTCCTCCGCCTACCGCACCGATTCTTCTGCTGCCGGCGTGGTTTCTTCTCCTTCTTCGTCCTCCGTTGGTGACCATTGAGGTTCTCCCGTGCTGCTGCCTTGTTTCTTTTTTTTTTTCTGTTGCTGCCATTGCTGGTCCCTAAATTAATTCGGCGGCTTGTGTGGTTGATCAATATATTTTGCGGTTCTTGCTCCCCTCTCTACAAAAAAAAAAAAAAGGAGACACAAAACCAAAGCAACCGCGGCCATCACCACACTCACCCATCATCATCATCCATCATCATCAGCATCATCTTCACGCCATCATCACGTGCCTCCTTTTGGCCAAATTACAAGCGTTGTAGTTTCAGCCCTTCTATTTTAATCGCCACCCTAGTAAACCTTTTCGGGGTCACATACCCTTCACTATATTATATTACCAGCCACCTGATTATACCTTTCTTCGTGTTTTTGGCTGTGTTGTCTATCATCTTTTTCGCCCATACAACTGGCAAAAGTTCTCTTTTCGTTCTACTCAGTGTGCCTTTCTTGAGTATTCTCCATCTCATCTCGGTTATCGCTGCTTTGATGTGGTGAGTAATCGTCTTTATGTTGCTCGTCATGTGGAGTATGATGAGCAACTCTTTCCCTTTAAACTTCTCATCTCCAGTTCTCCATCTTTGCAGCCGGAGTCCCCTGCCACCCCTTGGTTCCGTGTAACCAGTTCTCCTAGTGTGCATGCATCGAATCCTGCACCTGTTGCTTCTCCTCCTATTTCCCCATTCCCATGGCCTCTTTATCCAGTGCTCCTGGTCCTTCCGCGTCACCAGCATCTTTACCTAATTCTCCAGTATCCAATTCCCCATCATCTAAGTCCAAATCCCCTACGCCACCTCCTCCTCCTCCTCTTCTTTCCCGTCCTCATTCAATGGTACTCCGTCCTAACCCCAAGCCCAAGAAGATCTTTGATCCCTCTGCTCATCTTGCCTCTGTTTCACCACTTCTTCCAGTATCTCCTACATCTTTCACTCAACGCAAGTCCATTCCTTGGTGGCAAAATGCAATGATTGATGAAATCTCTGCTCTTCTCAAGAATAATATCTGGACCTTAGTTCCCCCTCCTTCCTCCAGCAATGTTGTCAGAAATCGATGGCTTTATAAGATTAAGACTCATGCGGATGGTTCCATCGAGTGATATATATAAGGCTCGGTTGGTAGCTTGAGGCTTCACCCAGTGTTTAGGGGTTGATTACACTGATACTTTTAGTCCAGTTGTTAAGCTGGTCACTGTTTGCTCAGTTTTGACAGTTGGCTTAACTCGTGGATGGTCGATTTCTCAGCTTGATGTTAGTAATGCCTTTCTTAATGGTGTTCTAAGTGAAGCTGTTTATATGGTTCAGCCTCAGGGTTTTTGTTGATCCGGTGCATCCTCGTTATGTATGTAAGCTGCATAAGTCTTTATATGGGCTTAAGCTAGTTCCTCGAGCATGTTACTCCCGGTTGGCTGCGTTTCTGGTCACCTTGGCATTGTGTAGTCTTGTTGTGATCCTTCCCTATTTGTGTATCGATGTGGGTCTCAGTTGTGTTTTCTGCTAGTGTATGTGGATGACATTATTATTACGGGCAGCACTTCTGGTTTGGTTCAGTATTTTATTTCTTGTCATGCTAAGGAGTTTTCTTTTCGTGATTTGGGTCCTTTGAGTTAGTTTCTTGGTGTCGAGGTTCATCACATTTCCCCGAGGTTTGTTGCTCTCTCAGCGCAAGTGTGTTAATGATTTATTGTGGCTTGCCAATATGCATACTTGCAAGCCTATTTCCACTCTAATGCAGGCTGGTGTTGTGTTGTCTCGTTTGGATGGTACTTTGCTATCTCCTGATGATGCGTCTACCTATCGCCGTCTTTGTGTTAGTCTACAGTATACCACTCTCACTCAACCGGAAATCTGTTATACGGTTAATAAGTTTTGTCAGTTCATCCATCAGCCCCACACTTCTCATTTTCAAGCTCTCAAACGGATCCTTTGTTATCTTTGTGGTACCGTTGATTACTGTTTGGTTCTGCATCCCACTAATTTGGGCACTCTTACTGCCTTTAGTGATGCTGACTGGGCTGGTTGTCCAGATGATCGTCGTTCTACTACTGGTTTTCTCCTTTATTTATGACCTAATATCATTCTATGGGCATCTCAAAAGCAGTCCACTGTGGTTCGCTCGTCTACTGAAGCTGAGTTTCGTGCGAATGCTAATGTCTGTGTTGAGCTGCATTGGGTGTGTCATCTGTTGTCTGAGTTAGGTGTTTTATTATGCCGTTCTCCCTCTGTTTGGTGTGACAACAGTAGCGCAGTTTTTCTTGCTGCTAATCTGTGTGTCATGCCTGTACCAGACATGTTGAGGTGGATTTTCACTTTGTTCGAGATCATGCTCGACGGAAGTTTGTTTCGGTACACTCTGTGTCTGCTGCTGATCAGATTGCTGACATTCTAACCAAGCCCTTGTCCAAGGATTTATTCCTTTGCTTTAGGGACAAACTTTGGCTTCTCTTTTGTCTGCAGGTAGTTTGTGGGGGCGTATTGTAATATATGTATTTACTATAATAGCCTTGTGTATAGGGTTCTGTTATTGTCTATATATAGCGTCTATATTGTATAACATAACATTATGAAATACATCTCTATTATTCTAAGTAGTGACATTTTAAATCTACATACATCGTACTGA